TATGGATTGTGTTGGCAGAGGCAGAAGCCTGGGGAACGCAGAGGTGGGGGGTAATTTTTAGGTCTTTCATTCCACGGTCCCATTGATTCTAACCCTATTAAGAGGATGATGCATGCGACTTTTAAGTTATTTTGTTAACTAAGTGTAAGCAATGGATGTGTCATGCTAACAAACAGAATTGCTGGTGTGTCTAATACAGTATGTAAGTACAGTACAGTGAATGTAAAACGTTGCGGTAATCTAAGAATGTTAAAAGGGAAATGTGTGCTGGGGGGGGGTGTGGGGAATGTGTGGGGGTTGGGGAGAAAAACGACTTACTTGCCATTCCCTGTCTTCCTCCCAGCTCCTTTGCTAAAGTAGGAACAGAATCGGAACAAAAAAATGTTTGTTTTACAGCTGTACCAAGTTACGGCGAGGACTCGTGCTCCCCCCCTCCTCTCCCACTTGCATCAAGTACATCCTGTACTTTTGGCAACATGTTGACTGGATATTTAAAAGCTGTGAACTGTTCTGAAAGTTTCACATACTGGGTTATGGGCCATGTGTGTTTGATCAAAATTCAATTACTGCACTGTACCATGCTTGGAAACCTATCATCCCAAGTTATGAAGTATGACGAAATAGGCTAATCTAATTGGTTCAGTATGGGAGCAGTATCAACCAAGCTTGTTATGATAAATAGCTTCCTGTGTTAAAGGTTCTCTAGAGCTTAAGTATCTTGGCTCACCTCCCTCTACAAAATAAGAATAGTGTTCCCTGGGAACAGTTACATCACTGTCCCTCTCCTATATTCACAATTAAAGGTTTGTGGATTCTTTTTTTTCATCTTGTTATTCCTTGAATAGATAATCCGCGGCCATCTACCCCATTCCCTGCTTTTCCAGCTCCTTCCCTGTTCCTCAGATTAGGTGTGGTGCTTACCATGAGTCTGCCTATTCTGTTTCAGTGCTAGGTAAGTCAAGCTTGACCAGCATGCCAAAACCCACCCTGGGCCGGAGGCTGCGGTTTGTGTGCTGGTGTGTCAGTACACGTGACATGCCAGTTTGTGTAAAGATCTGGACTTTTTGATGTTAAGTTAAACGTGGAAGCACTTTAATCTTTCTGAGCACCTAATAAAAGAACTTCTGTATGGTGAGTTTCATATCTATGGATGCACTATTATCTTTTTGCAACCGAAGTTATAGTTCATCAGTAGCTAAAGGCAAATCCAGTGTGTGAGTGCTGGATTATGACTAGGGAAGGACTATGTTCTAAGCCTGGATTTGTAGTCACTAAATTTGTCACTAAGACAGTGAGCTGTCTCACATGAGATGATACTGGCTTCGTGATTTTATCTGGTCCATCTTCGGCAAGAAGTACTTAGCTCGGATTTGGATGTCACGGTTAGAGGCAGTGTCAAGGGAAAACAAAAACAACACGGAAAAGAGGCTCCTTATGCTCTGGCAATTCAGTTTTTGCCTTTCTTGAACCACTCCCCCCCCCCAAGCCTCCTAACTCAGAAATCCCTTCAGGCAAAAGTAATTGCGTGGTGATCATTTTACAGAGCTATACTGTAGGCTTGATACTGCAAGGGCCTTGAGCACTGCTGAAATTTCTCCCAAGAATAAAGTTATTCACTTACTTAAGCGCTGGTAGAATGAGTCCTTATGTAAGTGAGTCTTCATATTAGCCCCAAGACTGCCTAATACCTGGATTAAGTGTGTATGGTGATTAATGCCTATTTACTATATCTGTTATCCCACTGCATTTTGCTCTTCAGCCTTGATTAAGCCCTTTGCTATACCATTTAAAATGTCCTGCTTAACCTTCTGCTTACAAATGTACACAGTGCTGAGGTCTGCATTTTTGACTAGAACAAGTTCTACCATAAATAATAGCATTTAATTTTAAAGTACAACAGCTACAGTCACCACTTGATTAAATGACAAAGACCAGCAATAGCAAACTAGGGAACACAGAGTTTTTTCACAACAAATGTCTGCGTCCACGTAAGAGGAAGAAATACACCTTCCTGCTGCTGATTAGCACATTCTATGCAGGTCTTTATTTTAGATGGTTATAGGAAATTATTACCAACGGAGCCTAAACAGCGACTCTCTGTGCTTTCCCCAAATATCTTTTGAAGGAGATAAACTAGATTAATCTCTCTTTATAAAGTTCCCACAAGAAAGCTCCCAGACACAGTAGCTTTACCTTCAAAAATAGAATGTGACTGTAGGCACTTATGCTAATCTCTTTTTTGGCAAATCAGCTTTTTTTGTATTGAATCTTGCTTGATTGAATAGCACTGGAGCTGCCAGAGTAAATGCTATTATCAATGTACAGTAATTAAGGAAATAGTCCTTGTCACTCCAACAGTGTCCAGGCAGTGCCTTCTGTAATAGAGTTAAATGATAAAGAAATCTCTTCAAGGTGTGGACAACAGAGCAGGGGAGCTCTTGACATGCAGTAAAATAGGACAAGGGGTAACGGGTTAAAACTTAAACAGGGGAAGTTTAGATGGGATGTAAGGAGGAAATTCTTTCCTGTGAGGGTGGTGAGGCACTGGAATGGGTTGCCCAGGGAGGTTGTGAATGCTCCATCCCTGGCAGCGTTCAAGACCAGGTTGGACGAGGCCTTGGGTGACCTGGTTTAGTGTGAGGTGTCCTTGCCCATGGCAGGGGGTTGGAACTGGGTGATCTTAAGGTCTTTTCCAACCCTAACTATGCTATGATTCTATAACGCAGTGTAGGATTGCAGGTGATGGGGGAGAGTGTAAATGCCCACGGAATTTGTGCTGAATGCATGTTCGACTCGAAGTGTCTCAATAGATGCTCGGCACTAAAACACATAATTGTTTAATTTGTCATGTAATTTCCTGACTCAGGGCAGTTGAGCATCTCCCAGTCTCCACCCTTAAAAAATGCGTGCGAGGGAGGGGAGGGGGGAGACCCTTCCATCATTCACCAACTTCAAAGATCTCTCCCCCCTTCAGGCAGCAGCCTGCACGAATGATAAACCTTGCTTTAAGACTAGCAGAGCCAGGCTCTGCCAAATCCATCTGGGGAGAGAATTTCAGTGAAAAGGACTTGTCATTCCTTCCCCCGCCCTTCCGTTTCACTTGAAACTTTACAGCCTGGAAGTACTTTGGTGGATGGCAATTGTTCCTGCAGCACCCGAAGACAGACATTCCCCAAGGAAAGAGAGGAAAACCTTTGGACATCGTGCATGTTCCAACCTTATCGCATGCACCAAGAAGTGGAAAATGAAGTAAAGTTGGGCAATTCTGAGATGCCAGACGTGCCTCTTATTAAGAAAAGAACTGTGATCCATGCTGCTGGAGTTTTCTCAGTGCTTCTCAGCTGCAGCCCCACGCGGAGATCATTGCACTAAACTGCTCTGGCCTAAGACATGCTGAGGTCTGCATTTGATAGCAAAGAGCTTTTGTCCAACGAAGGTACCTGCAGAAGATATGTTGTTTAATGGGCAATAAATAACAAGGGAAGGTATTTAATCAAGTGTGCCGGGAAATACTGCTTACTTAAAAATACACACATTTCAAACGATACAGCTCGGGGAGAGAATGCTTAAAGGGGAAGGCAAAAGAGTCCGTAGTGAGGCTGCTGAATTTCATCCTGCCACTTGTAAGACACGCACAGAAGTATTCCAGCCCTTCCCCTGCTTTTCCCCATCAGCCCACGTCTTATCTAAACTCTGTCTAATAATTGTCATATCTCATAAATCTGGCAGTTTTGCTTGGGCATACATTACCAGGGATTTTAACATTCCCTGCAACGCTCCCTTTTAATGCATTGACATTCTGAAAGCTGGGCATCGTGACCTCTCCATTAAATCTTTGACACAATGAAGTGTCTTCTAAATAAAATAATTCAGAGGGATCGATCCAGTGAACTTCGGGGTGCACCTTTTCAATTATTTTTTAAAGATGGAAGTGTTTTGTGCATATTGAGAGCTAGATTTGTGGGGCTGGGAGGGAGGGGAGCCATGTCTTGAGTGTGGGCCTGAGCTCCACTCCAACAGGAGCTTATAGAGGTGCTCAGAAGGGAGCAAGCATGAGAGCTGTTCCCGTGCTTCCAGCATGACTCTGAACTTGGCTTTGCTGGATCCAGGCCTCTTTTCTGTTGTATGTAAACCATTAATGTTCTATGTATTATTCCAAAGGATTCGGGGTTTTTTTTTACGTACCCCTAGCTCGACCTTCAGAACTGTCCACTCGAATGTGAGCAGAAGTGCTCTGGTCAGGACTCAACCACAAATGATATCCCAAGCAGCGGGGTTTTTTAATTGAGGCACGCCAAATACCAAAGGCAGATGCTTTTTCATTCTGTAGCTCCTGGATACGTGGTCTACTTTTTGGTTTCAAGGACAAAGGAAACACTTCTCCAATTAGATGAGGCATGAGATTGTGACATACGGGCTCGTTCCTGAAATGAAAAAATGCTGGAAAAAGATATTTGACCCAAAGTCAGTAAGTGCTGTTAAAATAATGACTGCTCCATAAATCCAGCCATACGTACAGCCTGTGTTCAGAGCTCTGCTCTTTTGCTCACTGAGAGAAGGGACCGTCCAGGATAAAGCCCCACGCAACTCACTTGCATCCAAATCGCATTTTGAAGGCCTTACTTTTAAAACAGGATATACAAGAGTGTAACCCAATTAAACTGTGAGGCAGACTTCTGCTATCTTCTCCCATCTGACATCTCTATCGAGGCAGCTCGGATGGTATCAAACATGATTTGGTTGTCAGAACAGCTGAATTTCCCCCCCACACTCAGCAAAGACAAGGGAATCTCTTGCTCCTCTTAGGAGGCTCATCGGAGCTGATTTTTTAATGGGGATGTGGTTTGCCCATGGTAGAGGCTTTTGTCTACTGTTGGGAGTAAATGGTTAATGCTTTGTACACATCATACCTGAATCTTGAGTGTCCTAGAAGCACACTTGAGTGTCTGCACGAGGAGCATCACGCCTCTTTGTCAGAAGCTGGATGAATCGGGGTCCGCATCATTTCTCTCCCTGTATCTGGCGATGGGGGCAATAGTTGAGCTTGTAAATAATTACAGCTCTTCTGTTTCCAGCCTCAGAGCTGAGCTGTGTTTGCTGTAACCTTAGGTTTACCAGGCAGCTGGAACTGTTGACTGATAATTGCTGCGAGTTTCTGATCCTCCAGAAGAGTGAAGAGCCTCCTCCATCCTCCACCGATTGTTGGTGCAGTTGCCTTTGCTGGAGTTACTGAAATTGGTGTTATGGACACCACACGGAGGGCTGGAGGCTCAGGTGCTGGGAATTCACGTTGCCTGTGTAATCACATCGGGTTACAACCTGGTCTGCTGTCTGTCCTTTTTCATGGAGTGTTGTTTAAAGCGGAATCGCAATCTCTCATGAAAACAGGCTGTGGGGCTGAGTGATACTGGAACAAATGGAAGTGACTGGAAAAATTGCTCTTGCTCTCCCAGCCAGGCCCAGCTGCCATTTTGATTTCTCTCCACCCTGATGGCTGGCTCTGGACCTTTCCTGCCATACGCTACTGCAGAGTCATTAGTTATGTATGACACCTAATGAAGCCCCAAACCATGGCGTTCTCCAGGATGCCTGGACCCCCGGTGATTCTGGCCAAGCAGCAGCACTCCTTGAACCCTTCCCAGCCCCAGCTGCAGCACAGATCGGGCTGGAAGCTGCATCTGTGCCTGTTGGCGAGGTCCCAGCGCGGGGCAGCCGCAGCACGGCCGCACTGAGAGCACCACCGCCAATCCCCACTGGTGGGAACCCCCCGGAGATGTAGGGAATGGAGGGGGCAGCAGGAGGGAGCCCTGGACACCAAAGGGGATTGAAACAAGCATTGCCCATAGCAGCCCTGAGAGCTGAGATCAGTGGCAGGGCTTGACTTTAGGCTCTACTGCCTTAGGCTGGCTCAGCACGCTCGCCGACGAGCTAAACCCTCATGTAATCACGTTACTATTGCTCCCACTGCTTTTAAGAGAGCTTGTACAGAGCTCTTTTACTTCTGCAGTTTGCACATCCATAAAAGCTATCCAGAATACGGTGAGGTGAGGAAGAAACGTCATGAATTTTCATCATATTGGTATTTCTGACACAATTTACATCGTGGCTGCGTCCCTGCTGAGGAGGAGCAATAAATACCCTCTGCAAAGCTCATATTGCGATGGATGGGAGAGGAAACAGTGACCCAAAGGGTGTCACATTCTGGAAACCCGACCTGGAAAGAAGGATCCACAATTAACAAGATGGGTAAGGGAGTCTCTGAGTCTTAGCAGAGCCCTTTGATTATCATAAAGAGAAAGTGGGTGACAAGCAGTTTTAAAGCATCCACATGTTATCGATGATTTTTCTGGTGACAGGAGGAATTCAAAGAGGTGCTATTAGCATTCTGGACAGAGAGGGAGCGGATCTATAGCCCGGCTCTCCATAAATGCGTTGCTGCAGTAAACTTCTTTAGCACTTTGCAATTCACATCTGATCTCTGCTGACCTTTTTTTTTCTCCTCCTAATTAAACCTTTAGCTTGCAAATGAGCCATTTCCTACATCAAACCCGTGTATGGCAGAGGAGGAAATTCTACCCGGGATTTATGAGTCGCTGGTGACCTACCTGTCTGTCACAACCTTTCCTAATTGATCTCTCTTTGAATTAAATTTGACCAATTACTTTCTCCTAGGTGAACAAAGATAAGACTACCCTTAAAAGCTATTGTGGCAGTGAAGAACAAAGACGGGTGTACACAGTGGATGGAAGATAACAATCCATATTGTGCACGTAGGGAGGAAGATGAAGGCCAACTGCCTCCAGCATCCAAACCCACTGATTATCTCATCCAGGTGTTTTCCCAGAGTGGTGTTTGTTTGAAGAATCTGGTTTTGAAGGGGTGTGCATGGGGTGACTTCGACTGCTGCTCTGGTGAGCTTTGTTCATGTTCTTGCCTGCTGTCATTCCTGCCCTGTTTTTGGAGCTGGATGACCAAACCAACCACTTCCAGGTTGCCCATGCCCCATGGTCCTCTTCCAGCACAGCGATGGGGCAGCCTTTAAAGTCCCTTTCCAGTGTTCCATCCAAGAGGAAATTCCCCAAATCATGAAACAGCCGTGCCCGCACTGGTCTTGTCCCGTGATGAGAACTTGGGGAATGAAATATCTGAGATGGGTGTAAGAGCACAGTGCTGAACTGCTGACCTCAAGAATTCAAACATATTCCTGCCTGTGCTATAGCTCTTCACATGTCCAGATACATCCCTTACCCTTCCCTGTAGCCGAACCATGGGAGTTTGGCTGGGGCAGCATCCTGTGGCAGTGGGGAAAGACCCTTGGCTTGACCCAACAGCCGGAAGCCAGAACTGCACCATCCAGCAGCGACACAAGGGGAGTTAAATCAGTGCTGCCCATTAAAAAATTATGAGTCTCACCTCAAAACCCTTTTTCAGAAGTGTATTTTACCTGATTTTCCTGCATGTCCTGGCTCCAGAGCATGCATTTTCAAACACTGCTTCCACAGCTGAAATGATGAGGAATTTCCTTTCCGCTATCACGAAGCCAGGAGGCTCCCATCCATGCAGGACTGCCTGTGCTGCTGCAGCTTCACAGATACCAAAACCACCCTCCACACCTCCAAATGGATTCAAAAATATTCCTTAGAGAGAAGAAAAACTCCCTCAAACCCTGGCTCTGGGGGTGTAAAGGAGGAGGAACCACAGCACAATGACACGGGAAGCATCCCAGCTGAGCAAATGCTAGGGAAATGGCTTTCCCTTCATCCAGGTGGGTTGTGGATTGTGTACCAAAGGTTGGTAAAAGCTGTATTTGTTAGAAAAATGATTAAGATGTGTAACATGGATAGCTTAAGGGAATACTGTAGTTCATAAGGGCTGTGGGGGTGCTGGCACCCATTGGGAAGGGCAGAGGCTGGCTCCAGCATGGGGTGCTGAAGAAAGAGGGGACCTTTAGGAAGATTTATGCAGGGGATCTCTGAATTGCTGCTTCTAGCCTTTTATAATGAGGGAAATCAAACCATTTCTCTGCATGGAGAAACTGAGGCTGCTTGGCACCCCTGGGGATAGGGCAATAATTGGGTAAAAGCCCTGTTGGGGTGTTCCTCAAGCCACAAACCTCCCCTTTGAGGTCCCCTTGGTATCAGTGACGGGGCTGAGCGGTGCTCGTACCTCACAGCCGAGTGCCCGGTGTTTCGCAGGCTGCTCCTTGCACAAGGTGGCTCGGTTCAGGAGGTTGAAAGTTATTAACCGGGAATCAGCGTTAACAGAAAGGGTCCCATCTGCTGCAGGGCACAACCCACGGCCCCTCCTCCCGCAGCCTTCCCCGCAGCCCGGCCATGGCCAGCCCGGAGCTCATGGAGCGTGAGAGCTTTGGGGCAAACGGGACAGCGAGATCGCTGGAGGTGGACGAGCAAACGGCGTCATCCCTGCGGCTGCCCCGGTGCTGCGGGCGCCGCAGCGGCACGCACCGCTCCGTGCGCGGCGAGGGCAGCGGGGGAGGTTTGCCGAGGGACGTGAGCAGACTGGGGAGATGGGGAGATGTGCATCCATGGGCTGGAGAGAGAGAGGAAAGGGAGAGAGGGAGAAAGGGGGAGGGAGAGAAAGGGAGAAAGGAAGAGAGGAGGAAAGAGAAAGGAAAGGAAAGGAAAGGAAAGGAAAGGAAAGGAAAGGAAAGGAAAGGAAAGGAAAGGAAAGGAAAGGAAAGGAAAGGAAAGGAAAGGAAAGGAAAGGAAAGGAAAGGAAAGGAAAGGAAAGGAAAGGAAAGGAGAAAGAAAAAGAAAAGAAAGAAAAGGAAGGAAAGGAAGAAAGAAAGAAAGGAAGGAAGGAGGGAAGGAAGGAAGGAAGGAAGGAAGGAAGGAAGGAAGGAAGGAAGGAAGGAAGGAAGGAAGGAAGGAAGGAAGGAAGGAAGGAAGAGGAAAGGAGGGAGGGAGGGGGGGAAGGAAGGAAGGAAGGAAGGAAGGAAGGAAGGAAGGAAGGAAGGAAGGAAGGAAGGAAGGAAGGAAGGAAGGAAGGAAGGAAGGAAGGAAGGAAGGAAGGAAGGAAGGAAGGAAGGAAGGAAGGAAGGAAGGAAGGAAGGAAGGAAGGGAAAGAAAAAGAAAGAGAGAAAAAGAGAGGGAAAGAGAAAGCGAGAAAGAAAGGCAAAAAGAAAGAAAGAAAGAGAGAAAGAGAAAGGAAAAACAATCCCCAGCAATATGCAGCCAAAGGATGAAATCAAGAGAAAGAGACAACCGTACAAAGGGACGCGCTCGCCCCAGAAGCCACTGTGGCAGCATGGCCTTGCTGGGATACAAAGTGTCCTTTGGGGTGAAGAGGGAACTAAAACTCGGTGGTAATTTAATTCTGGTCAACTGGCTGGGTAAAAGCTTTATTCGCTAGAAAATTGATTCAAAGCTGTAACATGGGACTTGGAGCTGTTGGAGCAGGGCCAGAGGAGGCCATGGAGATGCTGCGAGGGCTGGAGCAGCTCTGCTCTGGAGCCAGGCTGAGAGAGCTGGGCTGGGGCAGCCTGGAGAAGAGAAGGCTCCTGAAGGGGAGACCTGAGAGCAGCTCCAGTGCCTGAAGGGGCTGCAGGAAAGCTGGAGAGGGGCTTGGGACAAGGGATGTAGGGACAGGCCAAGGGGAATGGCTTTAAGCTGCCAGAGGGGAGACTGAGATGAGCTCTTAGGCAGAAGCTCTTCCCTAGGAAGGTGTTGAAGCGCTGGCACAGGGTGCCCAGAGAAGCTGTGGCTGCCCCATCCCTGGCAGTGTTCAAGGCCAGGTTGGACACAGGGGCTTGGAGCAAGCTGCTCTAGTGGAAGGTGTCCCTGCCTGTGGCAGGGATTGGAGCTGGATGGACTTTAAGGTCCCTTGAACCCAAACCAGGCTGGGATTCTGGGATTCCATGGATAACTTAAGGGAATATTGTGGCTTATAAGAGCTGGGGGATGCTGGCGCCCCACTGGGGAGGACAGAGACGGGGCCGCCGTAGGCAGCACTGAGATGCTTGGGGAGGTTTTGGCCCAAATACCGACGTGGTGCTGAGGGAGATGCTCCCAAAGCCAGGCTGTGAGCAAGGCATGGTGCCCAAGGACACATCCTGATGGCTTTTATGTGAGGACAAACTGCAGAACAAACCACATATTCCTGTATGCATGTAAGTCCCATGGTTGGGGTCTCCCAGAGCATTGCTGTGCTCCTGCTACAAGCCAATATCTCATGAGAAGCGAAAAGGGAAGAGAATGGAGGGGATAGAAATGGAATCAAACCTGAATATTTTATTCAATATTATAAATTCAATAATGAATTGACGGTTAAAAAGAGCTCATCCATGGTTTCAGCCACCAATGGAAATGGCCCAGCACCATTGCAAGCAGCAGGGTAGTGACGGGACATATGCCATCACCCCTGCCATCCTCTCCCAAAACACAGAGACAATGCCTTCCCTGCAGCTGGATCTGCTGCATCCCCCCAACACTCTTCCAGCCCAAGCCTGCTGCCTCAGGATGTATTAAAATGAGTTATGGAGGTCACGGTGCAAAACCAAACAGTGTCGATGCATGCGAATAACAAAAGCAGAATTTGGGGAAAATATATGTTGGAGCCAGAAGACTGAGGAGGGAGCACAGAAAATGTCAGACGCCTTAAAATGCCACCCTGAAGGACCTCGGGGGGGTCCAAGAGGCCTTGCTGGTGCTTCAAAGCATGCTGAGATCGCCCCATCCATGAGCAAAATAAGTTACTGGGCTCTTTCCTCTGGCAAAGCGATTGGTAGGGGTCTGCGAGTGATGCTCTGGGTAAAATAATCCACTTTGTCTGAGATGTGCTGTCCAAGCAGAGCTCTGACTTGTAAATCACAGCCCCATCCTGCACCCAGGTGAAATCCAGTAAGTGGAAACCCTCCAATGTGGGGGGTTCTGGCAGCTCCACCACTTCTGGACCCTTCTCAGGTACGAGGGCTTTATATACCCTAGGGGTATATAGGACTTTATATACCCTAATCCCAAGGGTTATCCATGTCCCTCCTTCACCAGAAGATAATCATAGAATCATGGAAAGGTTTGGGTTGGAAAGGACCTTAAGATCATCCAGTTCCAAACCCCATTCCCCTGTATCTTTGGCTGTGCACCGTGAGGCCAGACATGGCCCCCAGCACCTCGAGCAACGGCTGGAGATTGGAGCTGGCCCCACGCCTGGCTTCCACTGCAGACACACCAAATGCTGCGTGTCCTTCATCTGGCACATTCGAGCTGTAATTGCAACAGCCTGAACTAGCACACGGGTTTATGTGCTGATATTCCATGACATTTTATGTACATAATCTGCATATGTTATTTTTAGCAAACTTTCTCCCTGGGACAGCCTCACGAGCGCCACATCTTGTTTCCATGAGCGTGAGCTGCAGTTGGGGGCGGGTTGGGTTTGTTCCCTGCTTTCTTCTTCTCGTCCTTTTCCCCCTGTCAAGCCTGGGGTTTGAATTGCAGAAGTGCCACACACAACTTTGTGTTCTTTAGAAGGGGTGAAAAACTCCAAAAGCAAAGCCACGTGAGGTGGCCCAGCTTCCTTTTCCAGCCATTTCCTTGCTTGGGATGCTTTGGGTGGGTTACCATCACCCCCAGAAAGAACCAGCATCCTTCTTGGGTGCAAATAGCATAGTTCTTGGCAGCAACAGCATCATTCTTAGCGGTAATCGCATTATTCTTGGTGGAAATAGCATTGTTCTTAGTGGTAATCGCATTATTCTTGGTGGAAATAGCATCGCTCTTGGTGCAAATAGCATCATTCTTGTGGGAACAGCATCATTCTTGG